CCAGCGTCTCCTTTCCTACTGCCCCATACTGTGCAAGCAGTCTGCTATCCACCTACTTCCCCATACTCTCTAGTCCTGATCGCTGGTGTACGCTGGTGAAGGCTAGATCGATATTCATGCTTTCCTAGTCCCTCAAGACGCTGCTGGTAGCTGGCAGACGGCGGTGGACGCTAGTGGACGCTGGTACACACTAGTAGACGCTGCCGGTTGCTAGATCGATATCCATGCTTTCCTAGTCCCTCAAGACGCTGCTGGTAGCTGGCAGACGGCGGTGGACGCTAGTGGACGCTGGTACACACTAGTAGACGCTGCCGGTTGCTAGATCGATATCATGCTTTCCTAGTCCCTCAAGACGCTGCTGGTAGCTGGCAGACGGCGGTGGACGCTAGTGGACGCTGGTACACACTAGTAGACGCTGCCGGTTGCTAGACTGATATCTATACTTTCCTAGTCGCTGACGCTCGGCGCGTAATGGTCGCTGGTGGGCGCATGGTGGTCGCCTTGGGGTGCTGCAGCAAATCGCTCACCACATTGTACTAGCGCCAACTCTTGCTATAATTTCACTTCTTTATCCCTTAATTCACTTTGTTTTGATATCTTGTCAATTACTCCGCAATAGTGAATGTGTATGCGCTCGTGTTTGTGTGTTGAGCTGTCATTTGGTCTCTGCTATTTGCTTCAATTATTGGCGCAATAGTGGTGGCGAACGAAAACAAATCGAAATGTCTGCTGTTCGTGTGGATCGCGTCGTTTCGTTACGTTTTTATAGTGAATAAATTGTTTATTTAAACTCATTTTTAGGAAAAGTCGATGCCTAGTGTACCGCTTGAACTGAGACGAAGGTCGATGACGATTTAGTTGGGACGCATCGAAGTGTCCGGTGTTCTTATTACGGGTATTGCGTGTACGTGCGTTCTGTGTACGCTTGAACAATCAACAGCAAGCGAGCATGAGCGACGAATTGACGTCTGAAATCGTGCAACTCATCGCAGCTGCACGAACCGCTGTTGGAGGACTATCGGAGGACAGTAACGTCAAGCCACGCCCAATCGAGAAAGTTCAACCGAATGTCGTGCACATTGAGGTTGGCATGTTTATCGATTTTATTGAGTTTTGACCTGATTTCTAGAATTAAAATGACACCTGCTGTTTGATCCTTAGTTAGCGCTCAAAGAGCTTATGACAAGAATGATGATGGTGAGATATAGGCAAGTCTTGACCCCAGACAAACTTCGAACTCTCAAGCTAGCGCGGGTGAGGGCGCTATACGTCGGCTCATACTCAACATTCTTGTGTTGATTTTATTGATCCGTTTCTTAGACTCTGAAGAAGCGCTCTCACCCTAGAACTGAGTGTGTAGTTAGGTACATCTTTGGACAGTTTTATGAGTGAAGAAAACTTCAAAAATCAACTGAAAACCAGAAAACTTAGGTCTAATCGAGAGAATCCAGTGGAATTTCTTGCTCATTTATAGGCCCATTTATCGCTTCGATCAGTAAAGGTTCACACAGCGTTCAGACTTCGCGATGCTGTAACGGGTGTCAGCGTTCCAGCGCTCAGACGCGACGCAGGCACAGAGGAAATCGATCAGCGCCGACCCTTGTTCACCGAGAAAGTATGCTAGAGCAAGAGTGTGCGTTACCTAATCACGCAGGCTGGTATTGATCGGCACTGACCGCTAGAATTTTGGGAGAGCATAGAAGTGGGAGAGAGAGGACCAAATTATGTGAAGCAAGCGCCTGCCTTCCTGCTATCCCATCCAAAAACTAAGCAAGCCGGCGTCGATCCGTCGAATCGATTTCCAAGTGCCAGCCTGCGTTTCGCGTCTGTAGGGATAGAGCCCGCGCTGATGCAATTGTGGCGCGTCGACGCGCGTTACAGCGCGTCGACGCGAAGTCTGAGCGTTGCCTTATACAGGCGATCTTGTTAAGGCCTGTGGATTCCTGTAATCAAAAAACCTCACTTGTACCATTATGCAGGCTTCACAACGATTAACATGTCTCGCAAAGTGGTATCTGTCAGTTAACAGGAATTAGCAAGAGGTGCAAGTGGAAGAGCAGAATGTGCTCTCTCCTCCCTCCCCCACCCCTCACCCACTTCCTCACCCCCTAGCCGAACACCCATAAACTAACTTTCTCCAGAAGCGTCTGTATTTGAAGTAGGGTTCGAAGCTCAATATATTTTTTTTCGTTTCTCTAGTTATAGATCTTCTTCTCCCTAGCGTTAGTCCCGCGCCGTCGCAGGGTCCGCTGTTCTTGTTAGACGTCGCCACTTGTTCCGATCCACTGCATCTTCTGCTGTGGCTTTCACTTCAGTGAGGTCCCTCTTGATGACGTCCCTCCATCTTTTCTTTGGGGCTCCTCGTGGTCGCTTGCCCTCTACCTCGAGTTCCAATGCCTTCCTTATTGGGTGGTCTTCAGGCCTCCTCAGTACATGACCGTACCATCGCAGTCGCTGCTCTCGTGCCTTCAGCTGGATAGGAGCCGTCTGTGTGACTGCTCTGACGTCCTCGTTTCTGACTCTGTCGAGTCGTGTCCAGCCGCAGGCCCATCTCAGCATCCTCATTTCAGCTGAGTGGAGCTGCCTTTCATGGTTCTTGCAGATAGGCCAGCACTCACTGCCGTAGAGCATTGTAGGCCTTACCACAGCCCGGTACACCTTGCCCTTGAGCGTTCTCGAGCACCGCCGGTCGCACAGGATGCCAGTGGACTCCCTCCATTTCATCCAGGCTGCGTTGATTCGGGCCGTCACCGCCTGGTCCACGCTGCCATCAGCTGCTAGGTTGCTCCCCAGGTACTGGAAATCCTCGACCCTTTCGATGCTCTCGCCATGGCGGTCTACGATGACTTCGGCGCACTCTTCGGAGCTTAGGAACTTGGTCTTCTTTACGTTCAGCCGGAGTCCATTCGCAGCGAGCACATCCTGCCACCGCTGCACCTTGTCCTGAAGTTCCTCCCTGCTGTCCGCTATCAGGGCGATGTCGTCAGCGTAGAGGATGGTTTTCAGTGGTCCCTCCATGAGTTCTTTTGCCATGACATCTAGAGTCAGGAGGAAGAGGAACGGGCTGAGGGCTGACCCTTGGTGTACCCCAACCGTAATGTTTACCTCCTTTGTCAAGCCGTGAGGGGTGCGTACAGCTGCTTTAGCCCCATCGTACATGTCCTTCACTATGGAGATGAGGTGTTCCGGAACGTTACGTTCTCTGAGCGCTCTCCAGAGTACAGGCCTTGGCAGGCGGTCGAATGCCTTCTCAAGGTCCAGGAAGGCTAGGTAGCAGGGTCGCCGCTTCTCTCGGTACTTCTCCATCAGCTGTCTGGCGATGAAGATGGCATCGGTGGTGGACCTCTCGGGCATGAAGCCGAACTGTTCCTGCGAGATAGGGACAAGTTCCCTCAGCCTAGTGTTGACCAGGCGCTCGTACAGCTTCATGGTATGGGGAGTCAGCTTGATCCCGCGGTAGTTGGAGCACTCCGTCGCGTCCCCTTTCTGCTGAAGATGGGAACGATTGTGCTGCTCCTCCACGCATCTGGCATCCTTCCTCCAGCTGTTACGTTGTTTAGGAAGTCTGTGAGCCAACTCACCCCATGCTCTCCCAGGGCCTTCCATGCCTCTATCGGTACCCCGTCTGGACCCACTGCTTTCCCAGCTTTCATTCTCCCTAGCTCCCGGCGAACTTCATCCTTCGTCCAGGGAGTGATGGGACCTGCCGTCGCCTCTATCTGTGGGCTATCCTTGCGAGGGAATTCTTCGTTCAGAAGTCCCTCGAAGTATTCTTCCCACCTCTTCCTGACTTCGGCTGGTTTCCTGAGAATGGCCCCGTTGCTGCTCTTCACAGTCTTTACGACCCTGATGTCCTGAGCTGCGCGATGCCGAGCTTTAGCCAGGCGGAAGACGAACTTGTCCCCTTCTCGGCCTTCCAGCTTGTCGTACAGGGCGTCCATTTCCGTATTCTTGGCCTTAGCAACGGCCGCCTTAGCGAGTCGCTTGCAGCTCTTGTAGGCAGCGTAGTCTTCTGGGCTCCGTGTCTTTTGCCAGCGTTTGTATGCTTCCTTCTTCTGCTTGACGATCCTCTGGACTTCCTCGTTCCAGAACCAGGCTGCCTTGTCTCCTCTGATACCACCTCGCGTCTCTCCCAGGACCTCCCTTGCACACTGTAGGATGACCTCTGCTGCGTAGGTCCAGGTGTCCTGGACTGGCCCATGTGGGTCTGGGAGCCCAGCCTCCAGTATTCTTCGGCCGAGGCTATCCTTTTCTACCCTGCCCATTTTCCACCACCGAATTCTCGCTCTGCTCTCACCCTCGTCTTCTTGGGGAGGTCTATGGCGATGTCTGCCAGGAGAGGCCTGTGCTGAGGGCCCAGCTCTTCCCCAGGCAGTACCTTGATATCCTTGACGGTTTTGAGAGACGATCTTCTGACCAGGACATGGTCGATTTCCGTTTGTCTCCCTCCACTGCTGTAGGTTACCTTTTGGGTCCTCCTTTTCGCGAAGAAGGTGCTGCAGATTGCTAAGTCGTGGGCTGTTGCTAGGTCAAGGATTCGTCCTCCCTCAGCGTTCTTTGTCCCTATTCCTTGACCTCCGTGCACCCTTTCTAGACCCCTTCTGTCCCTCCCAACATGGCCATTCAGATCTCCAGCTATGGTGAGATAGTCCTCTTCCGGAACCGATCTTATGGCCTCGTCCAGGGTCAGGTAGAACTCATCCTTTTCGGCTTCAGAGCAACCGGATTAGGTGCGTGCGTAGACGCGTCAAGTACGCTTCCAGTACCCCTCCTTCGTGGTCCATTTCAACTCCATGATCCGGTTCACTGATTCCTGTTCACAGTGGAAGACGCAGTCCTTGTGGAGGATTGCTGCCCACCCTATCGCAACGCCATTCCGTTTTGGTGTTGCCAGTTGTAGAAGAGTTAACACCTTCTCCGATCTCGCGGGCCTTCGCACCCTTCCATCGCGTTTCCTGCAGGCATAGGACTTGGATATTCCTGCGTCTCATGAGGTCGGCAACCTCACGAGACTTCCCGGTAAGCGACCCCACGTTCAGGGTCCCAATTCGAACTAGCTTCTTTGGCCGAGGTCGTTCACCCTCGGTAGCCCTCGCATACTGACCACAGAACTCGGGCGAGGGTTCTGCGCGCCACTTCCGGGTGACGTCCTAGCTTTTACACTGATTCTATTGCGACTTGTCATGGTTGTTGTGACGGGTTCCTCCATCAGCCGGCCTGTCAACCTGGGCCTGACGCTGGTATCGTCCCCATTTTTGCAATTTTTGCAAGGCAGGTTTGTGCCTCGGCAGGGATCGAACTCGTGGCTCAGAGTGAGATTATGAGTCTACACTCTTAACCACTCGGCTATCCCTGCCTCTCAAGTTATAAATAAATTCGTGGTTTCCCAGCCAATAACCTTGTTTTTTAGACAATCATTGTGCATTCATCATGTGGCGAGAACTGTTCACGTGCAATTCCGATTGAATTGTGGACGATTCGACGTGAATGGAATTCACAACAGACGGTGATTTTCATTGCCGTCTCTTTGATTTAAGTAACCCTGTATGTAAGCAACATTCATAATGGAGTTTAGTCAGTCATGAACAGGTGACGCTCCCTTTTATACTTCTTTTTTTATTGATGCACTTTAGACCGTTTATCGATTTTGGAACGCTTTTTGTTCAATAAGAGTTTTTAAGGGTCTCGCTCCGTTGTTTCTAAAGAACGCGATCAGATCTCATCTTCATTTCTCGCAGCTGAATGCATGGATTTCCACGTTAAACGGTCGTATGCCTGATGGTGTCAGCTGCACGTACAGGTTTGTAGTGGTACTTTTCAAAGGACAGGAACATCGAGTACCTCAATTAGTCAGTATATTTGGGATCGCCCGCGCAGTTTGGCTTGGTGGGGATACCAAGTGGTACCCAGTGAAGCCTGTACAGGTCACCATGTGGAGACCTGCAAATTCTCGTAACCAAAGCGGCTGTGACTTGTACCACCTTGCAGCTTCACAAGAGTTCACAGGTCCCACCAAAATGAGACCTGTCAGTTAACATGAACCAGCGATAGGAACTAGCGGGAGCGCGAAATGCCCTTTCCAAGCTAAATTCCATTTTTTTGCGATCAGTTCCGTTTTTTACGACTTTCCATTTATTTAAGAATACTTTTACAGAATTCTTCTAAGTGCCAATGAATCGAAGAGTACCGATGAAGTAACGGAACATACATTCCCGGTGTGTCGTATTGATCGACAAAGTATTCTAGTCGTTTCGGTGAAATATGTGAAATCTGAACGTATGCCGGTGCCTGTCGGACTTTGCCTTACAATTGGGTCAGTTTTTTTTTGTTTCTTTGTTTTTTTTATTCCTCGCATATTTTCGCTTCCTGTAACTCAGTTAATAAAAACTTTACTTTAATTTCATGGCTGTCAGAAGCAGAGTATATGGTGATCTCAGAGGCAGAGTCCATGTTGATCGTGTGGGCGGAGTCCACTGCCGCATTTGTGTCATCTCATACAACGCCTCCCATCTCAGACATTGAAAGACGGGCGCACTAATGATAGCGGCATAGTTTGTTTATTCGCCCACCTCTGCACGTTACCATGACAGTGCCTCAAAGCAAAACTGCGTCCCATCGCCGAGCGGGGTCTAGCACAAATGCTGTCATTCCCTGCGAACAGACACAGTCCGGCTGCGTTTATACTTTGCGGCAGAGTAGCTAGCACTTCCAGCGTACGCCAGTGGCAGTGCTGGGGAGAGGAGCATATCTATCTAACGTTCCAGCGTCACGCTTAGCGTACGCTAGGCGTTACAGCCAGGCGTTTGCTAGTTGCAGCGTGCACGGGGGAGTAGAGACTATGTGGCCGTAAGAGACGCGGAATCGACGTGTATTGTAGAGACTATGTGGCCGTCAGAGACGCAGAATCGATGTGTATTGTAGAGACTGAGGGCGAGTGAGAGACGCGCAATAATGTATTTCTGTACGCCTCCCCAGCTCTCCCATATCTCTACTCTGGCCGGCTGCAATAACGCTAGCAAAACGCTGGTGAAAACCGCTGGCGTAACGCTAGCGTGCCCGCTGGTGACGGCGCGGGAAGGCGTAACGCTGGAAGCGCTACGCTACGCTTCGCTACGCTACGCTGCCGCAAAGTATAAACGCAGCCTCCGGAACGCTGAGAGTAAGGATAAGGGCTTCCCGCTCTCGTGAACTGCTTGTAAGGGAAATCAGACATGTGCTACGTTCATCGAGTCATATTTAGCAAAAAATGCATAGAAGTAACAGTGCATTGTTTCGGTCGAGGAACCTGAAACAGTAGCGCCCTGTGTCCTAGCATTCTGAAGTGCTTTGCAGCCAAGAAGAACTAGCCTATTAGTGTTTCCTTTCATGTGCTTATGTTCAGTTATTTACAGTGCTTTACCGACTGATCAATGGTTTAGCGCCGAGTGAGTGGATCGCAACGAAGACGTCTTTATCAATAACAACTCCGGAGGCGATCGCCATATCTAGGTAAGGTAGTATTGCTTGAAAGACGTTCCACGATGGTCAGTGTGGGCAGGGTCACTTTTGGAACAGCTGCTCCTTTTCATGTTTATGTGCCTCCCAAAGTCGAAGAAGAGTCAATGTTCTCCCTCCACTGGAGGAGGGTGCTATGTCGAACAAGCTCCGACCACAAGATAAGCGTAGAATGTGCCTTTAATCTTAAAGGCAGCGCCCGCGTTCCATTTTGATGTTAGATATCGTAGCTCTATCGACAAGGGTGAGGATGTACTGATTTCGCAGCTCAAAAATACGAGAGGATGGCGCCACCCGCTTGTGAAGAGGATGCCGCCCCGCCCACCTGGCTGCCATAACTGCTTTGGCTTAGCCTTCAAAGGCTGAGCCCGCTTTCAAGAATAATGAGTTATGGAGCTCATATAATACGTGATCCAGTAGTGAAGAAAAAAGCAGAAAAAAATCATGGAAAATGCCCTATATAGAACCCTATGCTGGCCAGGTGGGCGGGGCGGCCGACTCTTCACTAGCGAACGGCGCTATCCTCTCGCCTTTTTGAGATGCAAAACTAGTACATACTGCATCCTCATAGGGAGGGCTATGATATCCAGAGAGGGCGCGGGAACATCAAATGAACGTGGGCGCTGCCTTTAAGTTGACGACGTGCTGTATGAATCCTCAACATAGTGTCACGTCCAGAGCGCGAATGGCTCCCACTGAAAGAAGGTTCATTATTCACCTGAAATTCTTTCCCGGAGGGCATCTTCCCTAAACAGCCTGATCTTTGATCACAAAATTCCGGGATGGACGCGTTTCGCAGTGTTTATTGTCGTTCCACTTGAGCGTATTTGCAAGATCTCCTGAGAAAGACGACCCAGGAGTGATCGGACCCGCAAGTGCAATTCAAGTATCTGCTAGTGTAGGCAGATCCACTTGTCAATTTATGGGATACGACTGTACGACGGGCCGGTCGGAAACGAATAGTCAACATGTGGCCAACTGTGGGTCTTCGCTTGGTCCATAAGTCGAGGTGACCATTTGTGACGGTACTGATACTATCGGACCGGACTAGAACTATCGGTCATGCTCTTTAAGCCGTTCC